AATTATCTTTTAATCAGCTATTGCGGTAAAGATATTCTAATATTCCCCAAAGCAATTTTGAAACTATGTGCATTATATAAGTATTTGATAAGAAGGTTTAAAGGAAGAGTATTTTGATTAATATGCTTGAAAATTTGTCTCCCTTTTTAAGTGTCACTGGAGATTCTGTTCGAATGAGTAGTGACCATTAGGCATAGATGCAGGTAATAAGACGCTCTACCTGTCGGTCGGTAAAGGCTCCGCCCTAAAATTATTGGTTTAGCCGCCCCCTTCCTTCAGAAAGAGGTATATAAAGGTCGTCTTGACGTGGGATGCTACCACTGGTCTCCAGGTCTCCCTCGAATAAACAATAATGAAGCTTGTGAGTAGAGGGATTCATGAAACCATATGTGTGCATGTATACGTACACATAAACTATTTGTTACATGTTTGTGTACTTGAGGTACAAGAGTACACATGCACAATGATTTTAAAATAAACGGGAAGTAAAAATTGTTAATATATTTTATTCCCAGATCGTTCTTGCCTGCCTTTGCTGCCGTAGCTGTTGCTGCTAAGCTGGAGGACCGAGTGGTCACCCTCCTTCGCGATGACCGCGTAGCCAACGAGGACGGCACCTTCTCTACGCCGTGCAAGCCGACAACGGCATCAACACAGCCGTTGAAGGAGTTGTTGGATCTGCCGGTCAGATAAATCAGCAGGGATCTTACACGTAAGTGGTAGAAAAACTGATCAGACATTCGCATAATTCTATATTTCCATTTTCTTTGCCGCGCATCATGAGAATTCTTCATTTGCTTGGGAAAAGGAATATATTGTTTATGAGATTTATCCTTACAGCTATACCCTTGAAGACGGTACCCAGGCTGTTGTCACCTACATCGCCAACGAGAACGGCTTCCAGCCCCAGTCCAGCATCCTGCCCACTCCCCACCCTCTTCCCGCCCACGTCTTTGAGCTGCTGGAAATCGCTGAGCGTCAGCGCGCTGCTGGCATCGTGTTCAACTAAGAAAATAAGAAAATTCTATTTATGGGAGTGATATGGATGTTGATGCAATAAAGTTTACGATTGAAATTATCATTTTTATTCTGTCAGAAGAATCTTCTTGAGGAAAGAGTTGGTCAGTCTACCGATATCATAAACATATGAATCACGTTCATTGCATCGGTATGTTTGCATTCTGTTCTGGTATAATCCCTTTTGTCATGAATTATTTACACTTTCTGTTTTTCTTTTTCAAATCTTCGGTTATTCTATGATATTTCCACCTTAACTAGTATAAGATGCAATGTATGAATTACCTCAACGCTTATCGGAACAGCAAATAAGCCTACTGTCCAAATGCAGGGCAACAGTGCTAGCAATGAAACTGTTCAGATAAATTAACGCACATTAATACTGCATACCGTAAAAAAAAAGTACAATAACTTATAAGGCATTTTCATATTACCGTTACCTGAACAATTATTCGTTGTCAAGGATATGGAGCTATGACAAAATATTGGATTATATATCATTTCACTGCATTTTACTTTGCAATGATAGAAAAGGCAAAGCAACGGTAGAAAAAGGATGATTGAAAAATGAAATAAATGATAGAAATAAGGAAATTAATGGTAGAAATAAGAAAATGATAAAAAAAGGATAATGAACGGTAGACAAAGGAAATCAAAGATACATACAGGAAATCAACGATGAGGAATGGAAATCAATTATGAAAAACGGAATCAATGATAGAAAGCGAAAATAACAGAAAAAGGAAATCAATAAGAAAGGGGAAATCGATAATAGAAAGAGTATAATAAAGATAGAAAAAAATCTGTGATAGAAAAGCAAATCATTAATAGAAAAAGGGAACCGATTATAGAAAAAGGAAATCAATGAAAAGTAAGTCAATTATAGAAAAAAAGAAATCAATGACAGAAAAGTTTAAAATCAAATCAACGAAAGAAAAGGGAAATCAGCGATAGGAATAAGGGAAACAATTACAGAAAAGGATAAACCAGACGATTCATGACCAGGGCTAAAAGGGCATTAAAAAGTGATCTAAAAGATGAGACTATGCCTAAATCCTATGTTAATATCCTGACTGCAAATAATCTGTATGCGATTTCCTTCACTGACCAACCAGAACATGATTTCAAAGTAATACTTTTGCTTCTTGTAATTTAATTGTACATTAATCAGGACAACTTAGAATGTTATTAAAAATTCTTTTAATATGATCATCTTGCACCTTTGGATGCTCTACAGTGGATTCGTGAACACTAGTTTAGGATGATCTGGAGTGCAAAATATCTCTTTTAAATCTTTTAATTAGCTTATTTGCGGTAGATATTCTAATAATTCCCCAAAGCAATTTTGAACTATGTGCATTATATAAGTGTTTGATAAGAAGGTTTAAAGGAAGAGTATTTTGATTAATATGCTTGAAAACTGTTCTCCCTTTTTAAGTGTCAGTGGAGATTCTGTTCTCTGAGTAGTGACCATTAGGCATAGATGCAGGCACTAAGACGCTCTACCTGTCGGTTGGTAAAGGCTCCGCCCTAAAATTATTGGATTTAGCTCCGCCCCCTTCCTTCAGAATAGAGGTATATAAAGGTCGTCTTTGACGTGGGATGCTACCACTGGTCTTCAGGTCTCCCCCGAATAAACAATATGAAGCTTGTGAGTAGAGGGATCTCATGAAACCATATGTGTGCATCTATACGTACAACTATTTGTTACATGTTTGTGTACTTGAGGCACAAGAGTTACACATGCACAATGCATTGGTTAAAAATATAACTTGAAGTGAAAATTGTTAATATATTTTATTACCAGATCGTTCTTGCCTGCCTTGCCGCCGTAGCTGTTGCTGCTAAGCTGGAGGACCGAGTGGTCACCCTCCTTCGCGATGACCGCGTAGCCAACGAAGACGGCACCTTCTCCTACGCCGTGCAAGCCGACAACGGCATCAACACAGCCGTTGAAGGAGTTGTTGGATCTGCCGGTCAGATAAATCAGCAGGGATCTTACACGTAAGTGGTGAAAACTTTTTTCAATAGAAAAAACTGATCAGACATTCGCATAATTCTATATTTCGATTTTCTTTGCCGCGCATCATGAGAATTCTCCCTTTGCTAGGGAAAAGGAATATATTGTTGATGAGAGTTATCCTTACAGCTATACCCTTGAAGACGGTACCCAGGCTGTTGTCACCTACATCGCCAACGAGAACGGCTTCCAGCCCCAGTCCAGCATCCTGCCCACTCCCCACCCTCTTCCCGCCCACGTCTTTGAGCTGCTGGAAATCGCTGAGCGTCAGCGCGCTGCTGGCATCGTGTTCAACTAAGAAAAGAAAATTATTTATGGGAGTGATATGGATGTTGATGCAATAAAGTTTACGATTGAATTTATCATTTTTATTGTCAGAATAATCTTCTTGAGGAAAGAGTTGGTCAGTCTACCGATATTATAAACATATGAATCACATTCATTGCATTGGTATGTTTGCATTTTGTGTCCTGGTATGATTCACTCTTTTGCCGTTGTTTATATTTTTCGTTTTTCCTTTACAAATATTCAGTTATTCTGTGTTATTTTCATCTTGGCTTTTAGAAGATGCAATGTATGAATTACCTCAACGCTTATCGGAACAAATAAACTCGATGTCCAAATGCAGAGCAACAGTGCTAGCAATGAAACTGTTAAAATTGAGCCGTTTTAAGATAAAGACTAGATTGTTCAGATAAATTAACGCATCTTAATACTGCATACCGTTAAAAAGGTGTAATAACATATAAGGCACTTTCATATTGTCTTTACCTGAAAACCTATTCATTGTCAAGGATATGGAGCTATGATAGAATATTGGGTTATATCATTTCACAGCATTTTACCTTTACAAATATTTTACTTATTTGTCCACTCATTCGGGATGTGATAGAAAATCGAAATCAATGATAGAAAAAAGGATTTTTTTTAAAAAAATAGAAAAGGGAAATGGATAGAAAAAGGAAATCAAACGCAAATACAATATATAAATGCTATTACAAGGAAAATAATGATAGAAAATGCAAAGCAACAATAGAAAAAGGATTATTGAAAATAAAATGAATGATAGAAACAAGAGCATTAATGATAGAAATAAGGGAATTGATGATAGAAATACGGGAATTAATGATAAAAAAGGATAAGGAAAGGTAGAAAAAGGAAATCAATGCCAGAAAAAGGAAATTGATAGAAAAAGGTGATCAATTGTAGAAAAAAATTCAACGATAGATAAAGGAAATCAATGATGAGGAATGGAAATCAATAATAGTCAACGAAAATAATAGAAAAAAGGAATCAAATATAGAAAAGGGAAATCAGTGATAGCAAGAGGATAATAAAGATAGAAAAAAAAATCTGTGATAGAAAAGCAAATCATTAATAGAAAAAGGGAACTAATTATAGAAAAAGGAAATCAATGAGAGAAAAATAAATCAATTGTAAAAAAGGAAAATCAACGAAAGATAAAGGGAATCGGCAATAGGAAAAACAAAACAATTGCGGAAAAGGATAAACCAGACGATTCGTTGACAGTGCTGAAAGGTCATTAAAAAGTGATCTAAAATATTAGACTATGCCCAAATCCTATATTTATACGCTGCCTGCAGATAACCTGTATG